TACTGGTCTGTACTGGTCCATACTGGTCCGTACTGGTCTGTACTGGTCCATACTGGTCCGTACTGGTCCGTACTGGCCGGTCCCTGTCCCCGCAGGCCCCACGGCGACGCCTGGACAGGACCAGCATGGAGCCCTGAGAGGAGGTACTGGGACAACTGGGAGAACTGGGATCACTGGGGTCTAACTGGGACAACTGGGATCTAACTGGGATCCCACTGGGATCTAACTGGGATCCGTTGGGATCTAACTGGGATCACTGGGATTTGGTGCTGTGGGATCTCGTGGGACACGCCGGATCTGCTGGGATCCACTGGGATCCGTTGGGATCTGCTGGGATCTGCTGGGCTGTGTTGGGATCTCCTGGACCCTGCTGGGATCTGCTGAGATCCACTGGGATCCTCTGGGCTGTGCTGGGATCCGTTGGGATCTGTTGGGATCTGCCGGGATACTCTGGGACCCGCTGGGATCTGCTGGGATCCGCTGGGATCTGTGGGAATCCTCTGAGACCCTCTGGGCCCTGCTGGGATCTCCTGGGACCTGCTGGGCTGTGTTGGGCAGTGCTGGGATCTGCTGGGGTCTGCCGGGATCCTCTGGGATCCGCTGGGCTTCGCTGGGCCCTGCTGGGATCTCCTTGGGTCTGCCGGGATCCCCTGGGATCCGCTGGGATCCTCTGGGCTCTGCCGGGCTCCCCCGTGCCCCCCGTGACCGCGCTCTCGGCCCCGGGCTCTCGGCAGGCGCGGCCGCGGGGATGGCGAAGCTGCTGGTGCCGCTGGTGATGCTGGGCGCCGTGTCCGGGCCGGGGGTCCCGGCGTCGCCGCCGTCGCCGCGCTCTTTGAGGTGTCTGGGGGGGGCGTTGAGGAGGTGTTTGGGGGATCCTGGGACTCTGGCGTGTCCTTGAGTGGTCCTGGGTGGGTTTTCAGCTTCCTGCGGGGGGGTGCGGGGGGTCTCGCCCCTCCCCCGACTGGCCCTCGCCCCCTCCCCAGGTTGCTGCCCCCCTCCAGCCGCACCTTCGTGCTGCGGGACTTGGCCCCCGGGCGGCAGTACGAGCTGTGCGTGTCCGCGCTGCGCGTGGCCGGGGACCCCCCCGCCGCCCCCCGCCCGCTCGGCTGCGTCTCGTTCGCCACGGCCGCCGCTCCGCCGGGCTGCGCCGCGCCGCCGCGGCCCCACTTCCTGGGGGGCACCGTCATCATCGTCATCGGCGCCGCCATCGCCGCCTCCGTGCTCGTCTTCATCCTCATCCTCACGGCGCGCTGGAAGGCGGCGGGGGCGCGGCGCCCCCCGCCCGCGCTCACCAGCGTCTGCTCCCAGACCAACGGCGGCCCCCGGCCCGCCGAGACCCCCGAGCTGCCCCCGCTGCCCCCGCTGCCCCCAACCGCGGGCGGGGGTCCCGCGGCGGGGGGGGCGCGGGGGTTGTTCCCCAGCCACAGCTACCCGCGGCGGGCGCGGCCCCGGCGCCACGGCTCGCTGCCGCGGCTGGACGCCCCCGAGGGGACCCCCCTGGGACCCCCCCTGCGCCCCTCCTTCGGCAGCACCCACTGGATGCTGGAGAGCACCGTCTGAGGGGGGGGCACGGCGGGGATTTGTCCCCCCTGGGGGGTGGGGGGCGGCGGTGGGACCCCCCCCCATTCCCCCCGCCCCAATCCGGGGGGGTCCCGGGTGACCAAACGCAGCCCCGGCGGCTCTGCTGCGCCGCCTGGCCCCC